TCAATTGCTGAATATTCAAATTCATTTTCATAGCTGTACAATCGCAAATATATATGGTTATTTTGTGTGTGTGTATACATTAAATTTGTCAAACAAAAATACAATTAGTAAGTTCAGATGAATTGGATGTTGATAAGAGGATAGCAATAAAAGTGATGAGTTGTCATAAATGATTGTTAAATAAGAGTTACTGTGGAGCCAGGTACATCGGTCGTTCAACGCGCATCCTCTCAAAAAGGGTCAAAGAACACTATCCAGCGTGGCTACAGAAAGGAAATAATGGCCATATAAGGAGTGCAATAATTGAACATCTCGTCAACACTGGTCATTCCATCTCAATGAACGCCTCCTTCAAAGTAATCTACAAAGTGAAGAACAACCTTCCAAAGACAGTACAATTCCGTCTTCTTTGCATCGCAGAAGCCCTAGCCATCCAGTTGCTGGAACCAGAACTATGCATACAAAAGAAAATTATCCAACCACTTCTACTCGCATGGTAACAACTCCGTTGATTTGACCTAACTTTTCTTTGTTTGTTTGATTTGACCTTACTTCTGTTTGTATGCTTATTTTTCTAACTTAAAACCCTTGTGTATTTCTGTATATTATTTTTTTTCCATGTACACCCTGAGCACAACTCATTCATCAAACTATTCAGGCCGTTACGTAACTCTTATTTAACAATCATTTATGACAACTCATCACTTTTGTTACTATCCTCTTATATGAACATCCAATTCATCTGAACTTACTAATTGTATTTTTGTTTGACAAATTTAATGTATACACACACACACAAAATAACCATATATATTTGCGATTGTACAGCTATGAAAATGAATTCGCCGAAAAGAGACTCTTCGCTGAACTACTTGTCTTCTGTCTACTAATGTTCGAATGGGAATTATTCATAAATATTCAAATGTATATGTCATTGGTAGTCACATTATAGTCTGATGTTAACAGAAAAATGAACGGAAGTACTTCGGTTACAAAGATAAAGGTCATTGAGACAACCAATCAGATAACATACGTCGGCAGTTGTCCTATCCTAGGTCATGAAGCGTCCCTCTGATTTCTGTCAACCTGAAAGCATATATTTATGCTACCATTATAAAATATAAACTCTAGTCAGCGGCTAGTCTCCGATCAAAATATCTCGTACAGTCTTATAGGAGGAGAATCGCCAGTCCGAATAGCTCAGTGGTAATGTCTCTAACTGCAGCACTGGGTGACGCTGGTTCGAATCCCAGAAGGTACATGATCTCCCTCAAGTTTGCAGATACCCCTTACTGACTGGTGAGTGCCAACTATCTCGAATCCTAGGTTCAAGGCTCTTTGACGACTGTCTCCAACCATCTGATACCAACCGTCTTATTTCTTTCACAAATCACGATTCATTTGACTGAAAAGAAAAAATAGAGTTTTTCAGATGAAACTCCTTGAATTGTTTTTTCTGGTTTTCTTTAATAAAAATTCCTTTAAACTGTTTATCGTTTTTTCACCATTGGCAGTATCAGCTGGAATGAAGAAAAATCTGCATAAAAGGGATTGTACTTGTTCGTCATTAGTAATTCAGAATTAATGTTTACTTTCGATGATATGCATAAAACTTACTATTGTACAGAAACAATGTGATTTTTGAATTTGTTTTAATTTATTCCGTCCAATGGGAAACACAACTTCTCTGACGTTTCATTTATCTGAAACTTTATTTTAATAAAACACTGATGCACAGAAGAGGGAGAAAAGATTTCAGTTAACCCACCAGTCAGCTTTTTTGGCTAAAATTTTTTATTTATTTATTTTATTATTCCCTTGGGTTCCAAGAAGAACAGTAAGCTTCAACAGCGTAAATCCGTTTCGTCCTAGAAGTGATTGACTTAGCATCTGTGTTAAAAACCCGAATTCTGTCTTGTTTTTCGATTCTGGTTTTGGCACCCTCATCCGTGCCTTTTGCAGTTTAAACGATGCCGCCTTGATATGTGAAAAAAGTGACATATTTTCAAATTTCTTCAGTTGGTAGCGATTGGTTATTGTTTTCGTTGTTGATTGGTCACCTTCGTCATCCCAGTTCATTTGAAGTTCTGTCTCCGCTTCAGACAGACACACTATTACATTTTCGTTAAGATTCAGATAGTGGATGATATGCTTTTATTATGACTGGTGGTGACTACAAGGGGAATCAAAGATCCACACTTCGCCCTACTTGGGACTTGCCTTACGGATGTACCTGTGTTTCCAGTGACTGATTGCCTTCCAGATGTAACTGGAATCCAGCACACATCGTTTCAATCTTCAAAGCATTAGCCACTAGGTTACGGGGCTCACGAGAGCCACGTCTTATGCAACGGGCATCAGTTATCATTTGATTCTAGGTCAATTTTGCATAATCCATCAACATGATGAAATGCGGAATTAACCTGAAAACAGATAATATATTCTTTAATTACAATTTACACTATTCATACTGTTTACAATATAACGATGTGTATACGGATGTTGTGCATAACTAAAATCTTCAAGCTAAGAAAAGTAATGTGTTCATTTTTATATTATACTATAATAATCTAAGGTAGCAAAACTTAAATAACATTGTGAAAATTTTCAAAAGACTGTTTAAGGTCATTGTAACCGTTGAAATTGCATATAAGAGTATATTTGTTTTACTGTTATAAAGTCGATTACATATTGAACAGCCAACTGTTTCAAAACTATTTTTTAGCTTAATAAATCATAACAACTATTTAAAAAAAGAATATTCAAACTACCATTCATACTTTTAGATGGTAAAACTTGAAAAAAAGAAGCATATTTCAGTTTTATTGCTCTTTCAAGTTCCAATAACAGTTAGTTAAAAATCTACAGCTTTTTCTGTAAACACTAACAGTGTATTAGTACATTTAACTTCACTAAACCACGTGACCGTCACAAGAATATTTTTATTTTAGAAATATGCATTCCATCTGCATGTTATTTTACCCTTTCTATAAAAAACATAAACAAAGAATACCAGTTGTCAAAAGGTATGAACGAGGATGTTTTAGGAAAGTTAGGAGAAAGGAAGGACATATTTATCATCAGTATGAATTAAACTAAGAATAATGAAGAGGTATTTTTCAACGTTTAAAGGTAACGACTTGACACCAACTCTTATCTGGCATGTTAGAATAAAAAGGGTTCGGTTTTTATCTAAGACTAACTGATTTTGTTTTAAAAATATTGGCTAAGTTTCATTTTAAGCCTTCTAGTTTGAATCCATCTGTGACTATAACTTTTACTTTATCATCAGACACGACAAGCCGTTTATGACGATTGAACAAAAAGCATAATGTTAGCCAATAAATTTTTAGGGTTTTAAATGGAATACCGGACACATGGATAAATCTTCGACAATGACTAAATCTAAAGCCCTGTATTCATTCGAAATGTACAGCCTTAATGCAATAAGGAAAATGATATAGAATAAGGCAGAGATCCACATCGTTTATAGATGGTAAAACGTATTACTGATTGAAAGAAGTTCCTCATGTAGCGATAGAAGTTTACGACTTGTTGTTTCAGAAATTTGTTGGGTTTACATAAACTAAAGTATCACCCCTTGAGACTGTAAAGATATCTGCGAATTTTAACTGGACACTAGTACATAGTGTGACGTATCTAGTCCTTTTTTGGTGTAAACTGAATTCTATCAGTCAGGTTTGCACTGCGGCCACCATTCTAGGTAGCTCGCCATCACAATGCACGTTGATTTGATGATATTAGATAGTTGGAGGAAATCGTCAAAAAGCCTTGAATTTAAGTTTTGTGCTAGTTGGCACTCACCAAGTCAGCAAGGAGTATCTGCAACCTTGGGGGAGCTCATGTCCCTTCTGAGATACGAACCAGCATCACTCAGTGTGGTAGTTAGAGACGTTACCACTGAACTGTTCAGACTGGTAGAATTTAGTCTGCACCAAAGAAAGGACTAGACATGTCACACTAGTTACTAGTGTCCGACAGCCCTACAGGAGGTCAATTGCGAGCCAAATAGCACAGTGGTAACGTTTGTGACTAAAACACTGCGTGACACGGGTTCGAATGTCACAAAGGACATGAATCCCATCTAGGTTGCAGATAGGTCTTGCTGACTGGTGAGTGCAACTAGCACGAAACGTGGATCGAAGCAGGGCTTCCTTCCAACTGCCTCCAACTATCTAATATCTGCGAATTGTTTTTAATAAACTTTTGAATAGAACTTTACTTATGATGTGTCACTTCACTAAAATTGAACGTCTTCACTAATATGTAATGGATATCTTAAAACGTTTTCATAATTTCATCTTAGATCGATTTGAGAAAACAAAAACTACACACCAAATATTCGGTGATAAGCTGACAGTTCTAAAAAGTTGTGTTTAATTTTTTCAAACATGTAAAATCTACGTTTCATATATTCATTCATTGAACAATGCCCACGTATGAAAACTGCACCTATTTGATATTGACAATGAATTTACCCTTACCTGAAGATTCATATATTCATTATATGCCTTTGATCTTATTGGAAACCAATTTATAATAATGTTAACAACACTATTGTGATAGTAAATTTTATTACAAAACTGTGTTTTCATTTTGTAGTCTTTTCCTCACACTAAAAAAAATACTAATATTATTTGGTGACGAAATAATGGTGTATGTTTTACTTTTTAGCGTTGATTCGCTTTTCAAATTACATTTCATTATTGCTATTCCAATGTAATACTAAATGAGTAGCAGTCGTATTTTTCAACACTAATTCTAGAAACTAATCGATACTTCTGCTATTTTGAAGTGTTCTTTTCTTGCCAATTCTAACCGCTGCTTTATAACCATGATAAAAAATTCGCTAGCGATGCAGTAATGACTTATTAATTACTAACCGAATGAATAATAATCAATATTTTCTCATAGTAATATTATTTTTCACTAAGTCAATAGACAATGATTTACCCCCCACCCACCCCTTTTATATATAGAGTCCAAGCACCATCTATCCACCACCTATGGATTGGATACGAAGAAGACGAAGTTTAAGCGGAACACCATTTAGAACTACATGTTATCCAATGGTATACTATTCGTCTACACCACTACCCAGAAGATCTTTGTGCATTCCACACCGTCGTTATTCAGTATCATCGCAACGAAATACTTATATTGAACCAAACAAAGTTACACTGATTGGTAAATCTATGTACAACAATTCACGTCCATATTCTGTGTATAACAGCACGGCAAGTAGTGCATATCAAACTCCAGAAACAGTCAATTACTATCAACCACATTATAGTTCTCTATACCCTCATCTGAAACCAATAGTCTGGTATAATTATGATTACAATGGGTCAATAAATGATGAAATTCTGCCAACATCACATTTACATGCTAGTGCACCTCCAAAACAGCATATTCTAACTCCGGTATTCTAGTATTTTTATGTTTTAAGTGTATATTTTTTTTAAACCTTAAAATATCTACTTACCTTAACAATATATTTTCACTTGTGGCAGTGGGTTCTAAATCAATTAGGTGTAGAATAGATAAATGGATTACGCGATCAGGAAGAGCTCTAGAAACAGTTAGGCCTGAAATGTTGGTCTGGATAAACAACTAAAATTTATATGAGATATCCATTTAAGTATGGCGTATCTGTCCACAATAGAGATTTTGAAATGGGAGGTATGTTATTCCGCAATTTATTCACGTCAGCATGAACAGAAGGCGATGGAAAACCAAATAAGCTAGAATCTAAAATGCAACAAATTGTTTGAAATAATAGAGAGATGATAATGAGAATATGCAGACATGAATTTCATTTTGATGAAAAGGCGCTGCAGTTTCCTAATCAAGAGTAGTTAACATGATTACCAAAAGACAGTACCATTATACTGTCGCAAAACCAACATGAGTAAAGCCAAATTTAGTTACTCTAGATTTTTCCACAGTTAGTTGGGTGGCAAAAGGGGTTAAATTAGTAGTCATTTAAAAGCCCGTTTCGATACAGGAAGAAAAATATCACATTTTTGTATAATAAAAGCAGTTTAAGTCATCCAACCAGTTAAATTGGTGTTCGCAACTAGGCATTTTATGTTCTCAGATAATAACTGAAGCTGTTATTTGGCAAAAAAGCTTTCGAATATTATAAGGTATAACTTGAGAAATATTCACGTATTGGCACGCTTTGACCTTAGCGTATGATCTTGTGAATGTGTTGGCTTAACATGAGCTCTATGTGTTTTGGTGATCCTGAATACCTTAACTATATTCACCTCTATGCTACTTGGATAACTGATCGTCGTCTGTGTGACCGCCATCTGTTAGTGGTGCAAAAAGCACCTCTTTCAATCAAGTATGACAGTACTCACAGGGATAAGTGACATTCCAAAAAAATTCATATACACTAAGAAATTTGAATGACTACAGCTTTCATTGACATAATACTTCCCTTTATTTTGATCACATATTCATCTCGCCAAATCCAAATCGGAGAAGAAAGCTGAAGCTTTTCTGAGGTCTCGTTCACTTTACAATCTAAGTGATCTAAGTGATTATGTGAGTTGAACAATCAAAATGCCTTTTTTTGTTTTAGTTTACAAAAATTCTCATTTTCTTCTTCCTTAGTCGATAGTGTACTTCTTCACTATCCATTCTTACAGAAATTTATTCCATTAGGACAATTGATTCTATTGTATGTTGAAGGTTTTGAGTGTTTTTTATACGCATGACAAGTGATATTAGCATTCTTTAGGTTTTGAATTCCTTCCGTCTTTTTTTCAATATTGCTTTGCATCAATCAGTTTGGATTGGCAGTCAGAAAGGGATTATTTCACGGATTTATTTTACAGCTTCGCTTATAACTCTTTCTTTTTATTTATCATTCATCTTGTCTCGGTGAAATCTATGACTTCTACTCCAGGTAAAAATTTCATTTTAGATCAGTCAACAAAGTGTGCACAGGCTGTAAATCCGACGTCATTGTGTTGTCAATTAGTTTGTCTTCTCTGTGTATCCATGAGTAAACTTAAATATGTTTATGTGTGTATGTGTGTGCATATAATATAATATAATTTTTGCTTACTATCATACCAAAAATAAATCATTTTGAAAGCTGATTAATTTTGTTTTCATTTATTTTGTGTTTATTTTTTTTGTTTAAATTGCTTTATTTGCTTAACCCAGCTTGGTTTGGTTTGTTTCCTTTCAACAGATATACACTTATTATATTATGATTCTAACAATAAAGTACTAAAATTTCAAGAAGTATTGTTATGAGGAGCTTTTTTACACTGGTGACAAAATGCTTTGCTTCTATGGCTGTTTTCTTTACTAAGTTCGTAATTTTTTTCAGAAATATGCTTAAAGCGTTATCTTCTGCTTAGGAATGGAGTATGTATGATAGTTTTGTTACATAACACGGTTTTTCGACCAGGAATCATTGAAGTCATTTGTTTTTATTTGTACAAAAGTAATTCTTAGAGTACATGGTCGGTGGTTTAGCGGTTAGGACACTTGCCGACCATGCACATGGTCCGGAGTTTGATCCCCGGCCACCGACGCACTTTTTTGCCTCACTGAACCAGAAATAATGCTGGCAAAGAGGGAAGGTTGGGCATGAGGCTAGCAACCCCGTCCTGTAAAAATAAACACTGATACATTAGCTTGAAGCCCTATGTTCCACTGGGAAAGTGAAGAAAAAAATTCCTGGGGTATAAGACTCGTTTAACACTATAAACAGTTTAAGACTTGTAACTAATTAACTCCAGTTAGGAAAGTTTTCTCTGTTGTGGTTCTTTCAAACTGTATACAAAATGAACTCAAGCACTCATGAAAGAAGTAAATGAATGCAAAAGTAAATAAGGGATTTGATCACAAAAGCTGGATTTTCTCGTTTTTAAAATCATCTCTAAGATTACCTGATATGAAATCCAGGAAATCTTGTCGACTGACAGTAAACATATTTTCCTCGGTTATAATTGTAGAGCAGTTTAGAAGATTTTACAGTTCTTCAATTGCTGTAATAACTTCCGTGTTCCATACGCCAAATGCAGAACAGCATATTATTATTATTGTTCCCTTGGGTTCCTAGTGGAACATAGGGCTTCAACTGCACATCTGTCTTCCTTCTGCTGTACTTTTCACCTGCATCCATGTCAGTCCATACTGTTTCAACTCCTCTCTCTTCACATGATCTCCTCCATGTCACCCTAGCACTGACGTCCCACTCGCCGCTTTCCCTTTGGGTTCCACTCAAGCAATGGCCTGACGCGCGCGCCATGTCACCCAGCAGCCTCCTCAACGAGTGTCCAATCCATCTCAATCCACTTTCTCTTGCATATTTGTTGGTTGGCGATTGGTTCTTGTTTTGTTTGTTCCCTTAGTTTCTTGTTGGTGATTCTTTCCGGCCCGGCCATCTGATCGTCAGTACAGAGCGAAGACAGTTAGTTGTTGATAAGGTCTGCAACAGGCTGTTGGAATATTCTTTGTGACCCGTCCACCAAGTTTCTCATCCGTATAGAAGAACTGACTGACTTGATGTTTGTATTGAAAATCAGACCAAGTTTTGTTGTTGATGGCTGAGTGACGAAGATTTCCAGATTGGTTTCAAGTTGATGAATGTGTTTCTCGCCTTCCCGACTCTCGCTCGACTTGACATCCTCGTCCGTTCCGACTGCCTGTAGTTGAGACAGTGCTCCCTAGATAAGTGAGTGAATGAAGTAACGTCTTTCAAATCCCTCCCGTTGATGGTGATTGACGTTGGATGTTGCTGTTGTTGTTGATTGGTTATTGTCATAACCTCCGTCTTGTCTATGTTCACTCGGATTTCTGTCTTCCCCGGCTGCTTGTTCGACCAGTTTGTCGGTTTTCGCTTGTAAGTCTTCTATTTTGTGTGTGTGACATCAAACATAATTCATCGCCGCGCGAAATCCAGGTCTTCTAGGTTCTTCATGTCGGTCCAGGATATCCTTGTCTTCTCGTTTCCCACTGGTTGACGCATCATCATAGCCATCTTATGTACAAAGAGAGTTAAGACAGGCATTCTAAAATATCAGACGAAATTTAGTGTTATAAAGTTTGTCTCATCAAATCCACTTAACATGGATATGTTAATTTATAGTTTCAAATCGTTGGATTACTTAAGACACCTTGATAATACCCTCTGTTACTAATTTAGGCAATGTCTAGATCACAATCTAACTTCTTACTAAATACCTGAAATTTTTTTCAACGATATCGCCACATTCTATCCAGCACTTATGTATGGACTTCTGTACTTGTTATAGTGCATCACTTATATTGAAAACAGGAATATGTTTATTGACAAACTAATAATGAAACGTATAAGCGTGATATTTGTATACTGATATGTTCTTTCTAAAGTTTGGCATATTTTTGCTTCATACAAATAATTTTTTATTTTATACTACTTATAACTACTGACAGAATGTTTGAAGCATGATAAATCTTATGAAAATGTTTAGTTATTAAAGACTAAAATTAACACTGAACCACTTATTCATTTATAATGCTTTTGAGTGTAAAAAAAAACGTTTTACGTTTGTACAAAGCAATTCATTTTCAGTGAACGTAATTCTGTCGATTTGATACATGGTAAAGATAACCAGAAACATGCAGTTTTGATTTTAATTTCAATTCGACTGAATAAAATTTCTAAAGATTTTTACAATCTCAGTTAGTTTTCAAGAGTTACACATTTTTTATATAAATCTACTTGTCCTTATTCTTTCTTATAGGAAGATAGTATACCTCGTGTTATTCATACATCGTACAGTCGTAATTTTCCAATGCATACAAGTCGTTTGGGTTCAGTGCCACCATCAACAGTTGGCACTTATCGTTCAACAATTACGTCGTCAGATTATGGCCTACCACCGATTGTTCATAGAAGTTATAATCGAACAAGTCGTTATGTTTATGAAACACCATATTATACAACAACATATGTAAGTATTTTTATATGTCATTATTCCTAAGAAAGATTCAATAGGGAATATTATTTTTCTTTGGTAATATTTTATTATCAAGTATTGGTTTTGTAGGGATTTTGTTTGATTGCATGGAGGATTTCATGGTCGTGAATTGGCAGAAGTTAGAATTCAAGAACGATTGGATCGGGTCCCAGTGGCTCAATGGTATACGAACTCGCCTTGTAATCAGAAGGTCCTGGGTTCAAAACCTGGCGGTGGGTGAACACTGTTGAAGAGTCCCAAACTAGGATGGAGGAAAAAGCTGTCCAGTACTCCCAGCTTTTTTTCCAGTGGTTCTCTAACTAATTTCAGCTCATGATGAAATCCTCCATGCAATATTTTATTACTGTTTATTTTTGTCATAACACGTTTCAATTTCTACCTACATTTGCCTTATTGATTGTTTCATAGGGTTTTTATTAAGCTATAGGTTATTTAAAAGCTTTTCCCATGGGTATGTTCCACTTTTCCTTCCACTGACTAACTATGTATACAGGCACTGTTTGCTTACAACCTAAAATTCTACGGTTTTATATATAATAAAACATGGCTACTTGAGAACAGAGTGTTGCATTATATGGATATAATTGAAGTAATACTAGTTCTTTCTTAACTTGTCGGAACCCTATGACTAAGTGAAGTCTACTCGCGATCCTTCACAGGATGAAACTTCTTAACAGTAGGCAATATCTGTATAAATACCGAATATGTGACAAAATCAGGACCAGTACAACTTACAGTTACCAAAAGAAGTAGATCAAAGTTGCCAATAACTTCATATTAACACTGAAATCTGCAGTAATCTGAGAGGTGGAACCTTCCAATTTACTGTAATTCCATATAAAATAATTTTGTTGTGCAACACAATGTCCCAGGCAAAAATTTACTTGTCATATAGAAAATAAAAACAATCAAAACATTTATGAATTTAGAAAAAAAATTATATTGATATGATTATGGGTAACCGTCTGTGCTCTAAAAATGATCCAGTAAACAATACTGAACAACTGTCGGCTTATCCGATAAGCATAAACTTCTGAGTTGTATGTAGTGACTTCATCAAACAAATTTAACAATTTGATCAGCATTTCTTATGAGCAGGATAATGGATTTTGTTATCAGAATCCTGACAATTATAGCCTTCTAAACTCTTATTTCCAATAATTTTGGTCAAAATAAAGTTTGGTTACAGGATTTCATCATGATCTGACATCGGTTAGAGAATCGTTGGAAAACCTGGGAATACTGGACGGCTGTTTCGTCCTAGTCTGGGACTGATCAAGAGTATGCTGCCACCAGGGTTTGAACTCAATTTCATCTAAAGATCCATAACTATTCAGAAAATATACTCATTGTAAGAATACCCAATGAAATATTTCAATAGCTTCATTCAGATTTCATAAACAATGATTAAAACAGGCAATATTACTGTTAACCTTCATGCCGCTGCCAATTTATGAAGCGAACATGCGAAAGTATAAACCATACGTCTAATGTACATTCCATCCCATCACTCGTAATGTAAACCAATTTGACATTTTCTGATAATTACTTTGATTATTTTTTCCTCCTTAGTATTATTTTACTAGTTTACTACAAATTAGAATGATGCAACTTGAATTCCTTTTTTTACAGTCTAGAATATTTAATCAAACTTGATCTTTTTATGATTATATGTTTTTGACCAGTTTTTGATAATTAGACAGACTATACCCTTAAAGGTGTACAAAGTAGTGCTTGTAAAACAAAAAAATATGAAGGGCTGTCAAGTGCGTCATGCTTTGACTGTAATAATTTTATTGACTGCGCTTAGTTAAAACACTTGACCCATTCACACTGGTTACGTTTAAAGAGAATCCACTTATGTGTATTACTGTGAATTTGTCTTGAAGAGGATTTTAATAAAGACCATCAACAATCCACGTTAATAAAGTTCCTGTTCTGCACACTCACTTTCTTTAATGCTATAAAAATCAGTAAGTTTCGTTGATGAATAAACATTAGATGAAGAAAATCTCATAAGTTAAGTAACCCTGAAAATGTTTTCACTCTACTTTGAAGGCTTCGGGAATTCTACCCCTGACACAAAATAAAGGCATCTAAACTTCCCAGCTAGAGCAGTCTTTCTATTTAGTAAATTATAAAGCTATAATTAAATGTTTTACAAACCATTCAATATATGTTAAAATGCAAACTACCTGTACGTTTGTGGCACAGTGGTTAGGACTCTCGCCGACCATGCATATGGTCCGGGGTTCGATCCCCTGCCGACGCACACCTGATATCTATGGTCGGCCTGCAAAATTTGGGCTACCGATATCACATTCTAAAAATTCCATGGCTGTGTGGAATCAAACTGTACTCAAAAATATAAAAAAATAATCTTATTTCCAGAAATATCATATCTGCATTTAATTTCCTGAGAAATTTGAAGAAATTTATTAAAGCAAAATTTAAAATATTCTATTCCGAGTTGGATTATTGCTGACTTGTTAATTTTTCCCGGGAATGAAAAGCCATGAAAAAAATGTAGGGTGAATTATTATTATTTATCATTATTCCCTTGGGTTGCGAGTGAAACATAGGGCTTCAGCAACACATCTCCACTTTCTTTTATTCTATGCTTTCCTCTTCAGTTGGGTCAACGATTGACCACACAATCTCTCATCTCCTCCTCACGCGATCTCCTTCATGTCATCCTCGCACCGACAATCCACTCGTCACTTCTCATTGAGAATCCACTAGATGACTGACCTAGTGTGCGATATCATTTCATAGCCTTCTCAATGTATGCTTGATCTCGAATTCAGTCAGTCTTTCTATTCATTATCTCATACAAGAAATAAGTATCAAATATAAGTAAATGTTCAAAAGAGAGTTTCGTGATTTTTATTTAAAACTAAAAGAGTATATAACTCTGAAAACACACGCATACCTTTGATTGGACATTAGTCAGTGACTGGTGTTGTATGTCTCATCCTTTGTTTGATCCAGACTGAATTCTAATACCAACAATTCAAAGTGTACTATAATGGCGAGCTACATAGAATACTGGCCACACTGCAAACTTAACTGATAGAATTCAGTCTGCACCAAACAAAGGACTAGGCACACTACACTAATCACTGACTAGTGTCCAATTAAAGCATCCAATAAACTCCTAAAGGAGGTCATTCGCAAGCCCTAATAGCTCAGTGGTAACATCTCTGACTGTAGCACTGGATAATGCGGGTAGGAATCTCAGAACGGACATGAGCACCTTCAAGAGTGAAGATATGCCTTGCTGATTTGGTGAGTACCAGCTAGCCCAAAACGTAGATTGAAGGCTTGCTGTCAATTGCCTTCAACCATCTAATTTCAAGAGTGTGTATACCTTGTTTATTGTTTTTGGGATAGAAATATCTTAGTAAGTCAAAGTGGTGTTCTACTGGTTTGGTGTAACTTTTGCAAATTAAACAGAAGACAAGTGATTTTCCACAAGTTTTTTTTTTAAATAAATCTATCAATAAAAGATTCAGACAAGCTACTTTATCCTCCTTACCTTGAAAACATTGTAGTTATTTTCATTCTATGAGGTTTAAAAAATCTAGACATTTATTAAACTGATTCAATTCATTTGCTATCAAAACTTCAACCATTTTATTGCATAGAAAATAATATCTCGAATAGAAAGTGAACACTAGTGTATTTACCCCTATATATACCTTTTTATTCCTTCACGTTCCCAGTGGAACATGGGGCTTCAAGCTAGTGGCTTGAAGTTTCTGTAGCAGTGTTTATTTTCTTACAGGAGGTAGTTGCTAGCCTCATGTCCAACCTCTCCTCCTTACCAGCTTTATTTCTGGCTTAGCGGGGTGAAGGAGTGCGTCGGTGGCCAGGTATCGAACCCCGGACCATGTGCATGACCGGTAAGCGTCCTAACCGCTGTGCCACCGACACACATATATAGACCTTGTTGTTAGAAAAGTAAATTATAATAAACATCGGTGACAATGTATTTTGGGTGTATTACCTACACCTCTTCATTACTCCGGTTAACGGCTAAAACAACATAACGTTAATTTTGGTAAGTATGTACTACTAGCTAACCAAAGCTAAAGTTATCTATAGTGCTAATATGTAACTCAATCAATACAATATAACATGAAGTCCTTATTTTGCCTTTTTTTCTTCAGTTCATGTGTAGCATCAATAAATCATACTTTGTTAACTAAGCATCCTGTGTTACTGAAAGAATACGTAAAGAATTTTCATCCCCCCACCCCCCCCACAAGCTATCTTATACGTACATAACTGGATTCATGCTGAGATATTCAGCAGATTGTGAAAGCTCCAATAAAAAAATACCTGACATAATAATATAAAGCTGCATATCTGTGAAACACTAAGGGAGTGTAAAAACTCTAAATCTACAAGGTCATAGTTTTTGTAGTTTTTGGGCATTTTATAATTGTATGTATTCGTTAAAATTTAAAAAAAAAAACGTCTGTCATTCTCGTAAACGTACTGTTTCGAAGTGTTCTATTCAAGATTACATTCTTTATGCGTATATACCTGTAAAAGTAGATGTCATTCATGAGATTGCCTTAGACTCTCATTACTAGAATATTAGAAGATTGGAATTCCACTGTCATTTATATTTCGTGGTTGTTAAAAAGCGAATTGTGGTAATTTAAAGCAGTTGAATGTATTTAAAGTTTGCATTTTAAAGAGACTTCAGTTTATTCAAATAAAAACGTGTTGCATAGAAAGCACTATAGGTTAAACCACCCCATGTGGTTCTAATACTAAATAAAGAATAAAAACGCTAATAGAGTGTTAATCATTGCTTAGCAGATTACTTAATTTTGTCTAATTTGTCTCATTTTCACACATCCACACCTCTGTCTTCTCAATACTTGAACGCATATGTCAACTAAAGACATATTTATACATCAAACTGATTACTCTGCATTTAATTCAGTCTTATATTATTTTTCCTTCACTTTCTCCCAGTGGAACATAGGGCTTCAAGCTAGTGGCTTGAAGTTTCTGTAGCAGTGTTTATTTTACAGGACCGGGTTGCTAGCCTCATGTCCAACCTTTCCTCTTTACCAGCTTTATTTTTGGCTTAGCGAGGTAAAGGAGTGTGTCGGTGGCCGGGGATCGAAACCCGGACCATGTCCATGGTCGGCGAGCGTCCTAACCGCTATGCCACCAACACACCAGTCTTATATTGCGATAGTGAAATTAAAAAATGTTATATTAATCAGAATTATGCAATTTTTTATCAACTATTCCTGCTTTTCCATAATTGTTAACACATTGCAATGAAAAAATTTCTAAATTTTTTGTAGAGCAATCGCATTTCTGAGCCTGTAAGAACTAACTACTACTACAGTGCTACACCAAGAAGATATACAACTATTATCCACCAATAGTGACCAGTAGACCCTTGTCAAGTTCTGGTTCTTATAGTAATTTATCTACTGAAATCCAAAGTGAACGTAGACGAATTGAGGTAAGCTGAAGTACTTTATTTGTTGTAAGGCTTTATTATATTATTCTTTACATCGGTGGAAACAAAGATTTCATTAAGTGACTAATTATAATTCTGTAGAAAAGTTTAATTTCTAAATAATTAAGCGTCAGTGTATTCATTTGAACCCTACTTTACATGGCGCATAGATGTTTTTGAATATTGGTTTCGGATAAGTGTTTCTCTATTTGGCCTATTATTAGTAGCTCACAAACACATTTGGTATGGAATGAGTTAGAGAATTCAGGAGCTGAAAGTCACAGATAATTGGCTTTCAACTCACTACTAAACTACAGAGCACATGCTTCATAACCTGAGAATCCTTTTATTCGTCTCCACTGACATAATGAAGTAGTTCTGCTAGAAAGTCCAGACATTTAGTATGATAGGGTTAATTAAGATATAACCCGTTAACCGACAAACGCATTACAATGACCTAAATACTACATGTGTATTCACAATGTATGCTTTCCATCCACAACATAAAATATAAAACCTAACAAATAAAGTCATTACCTAGTCTAGTTGACAGCTAAATGTTATATCCTGATGAATACAACGTAAAGCGCGAAATCCAAAGATCACTTGTTTTGTACTTTTTGGTAGTATAGGCTTCAGATGCTATCATCAGTCAAAGAAAAATACTATACTAACTCGGTGCAACCACGCAGTTCAAACTAATTTGAATATATCAGTAGGCAGATATCATTTTCATCTTATAAAATGGTATTACTATGTAAAAACTTCTCTTTCTTTATAGCAGAACACTGTCTTATTTAGTGTGAATGAAATTTAAATTTTAAGTCAAAAATGATATGTCAGAAATAAGGAACAAAAACGTTTCCTGATGATCGCATCTTGAAGGAGAATTATCACTATTTAACTGTCATTTTGAAATACTGTAACTATTTATAGATAGGAAGAGATAATTTACCCCTTTCGTGCAAGATTCTGTACAGATGATGAAATTCAATATTTGTAAAGATAACAGTCAAAAGTGACAGTGATCAAACATTTTTCAAAAAAAATAAAGACACGGAACATAGCATTGACAAATTAATGATTCTGTGAAAATACTCGTGTGTATATGTAAAATCAGATAAGTCTTACACTCGTGCAACACAACACTTTTCTGAGAGTCATCGAATAAAATTACTGATAATACAAACAACATAAGATATCTCTCAGCTCTAATAACTTATGAATTTCACATCTAAGACATCAAAGTTAATCTCAGTAAAACTTGAATTGATGCCAAACACCTTATAAGCATAACACGAAAACATTTTTCAGACTTAAACAACAACATTTTTAGTGTGTAAATAGAGGGCTAGTTTCGTCAATACATAATAATTCTTGGAAAATTCAACCGTGCCAAATGAATCTTAAAGGAAAATATTGTTGTGTTGACATAATTTAAAAGGAAATGTAAAATCTGGTTAATTTATTTATGTTTTCCCCTTGCTATTAATTTCCTATTTTCATTAGGATTAGTTATGAATGCAACATATTTGTAGAAACTTTAGGTATATTGCAATTTTCGAAATAACTCTTTCATAATCAACTGCATAGTATGTTAGAAATCGCATTGAGCAAGCATAGTCAGGCTGATGGAATAAAAGTCTACTTTCTTGTCCACTTACTGAACTGTTGTAAATATCAGTCATTGTATGCACGAAATCAAATTAACCCATATCTTTTGTCATCTCATGTTAGAATTCAAGTGGAATTTGTAGTTAGCTTCACCAGATGTAGGTGTTTTAGGTTTTATATTCATCGGCAATGACAACTTTCCATTCCATTCAGTGGTATCGAAATCGTAGACACATACAACATCTTCAATAAAGAGAGATAACAAGCATTTTGTTTTTAATTCGAAAGCCTTAATTTTATGTTTCAAGTTTTTTGTGAATTGCACATTGCATTGTTATATTGCTTGCTTCATAGAATAGGTTTTACTGCCTTCCATGAGATATTTATACTTTTTCATTGAACTTTATGTTTTAAGAACTACAATTTATAAGAGTCTTGTATTTAACAGACAAAAGTCCCTGAAATATTACTTTTTGAAAAATTTTCGCATCACTCTGAACAGCTACTGTTTGGTGACATTCATATTTTTCATTCTCATTAAAAACCATTCGAAAAATACAAAATGACTGATTACTGAACAAAGAATATTGTTTTCGGTAATGTCTTCATCAGGTTCAACAGTTATACATCCATAATAATTAACAACATTATGTTTAAATGACATCTAAACAATAATTTCCGTAGATTACACTTCAGTAGCAACTGCAGGCATGCTAGTATGCATCAACATATTACCACACTGAATATCAGACAGATTAGTAAAAATAATTACACAGAATTCATGAATTTGTAGCCTTGACAAAAGGCTAGTGCCCGTAGCAGTGGTTGGACCTGTTCCTTCTGCGCACAGAGCACTGGTTGTTTTAGGCGGATCGGAATAGCCTCTGGTGTTTGGGGTCTTCGGTATCTGGATGCTTTGGCAATTTATCTGGTACACGACAAGTGATGGAGAAGGATTATTCAATGTTGTCTTTGTGGCCGGTTTGAACCAAGTGGTAGAAAACTGGGCTTTTGATGCTCTTCACTATGCTCCTATTTATCCACACTGGTAGGTATTAACAAGCATGAGAAATCAAGTTCCTAGAGCAACAATCAATATAACTCTCTCTACAAGCGCAGTTAAATTGGTACATACAATTAAAGGTGTCTAGTCTAGGTACTTCATCTTTCAATTGAGAATCATAACTGGTAGTGTAAGAAATATTACTTTTACTGAGTGAAATAATTACCAACAAGTTGAGAAGAACAATTCAACAAACTTCTAATGCCGGTAAACTATAACTGTAGAACCTGATGAAGAAGTTATCAAAAAGAATATTCTTTGTTCAGTGGTCAGTCTTTGAAAGACATTTTTTCTTTAAAAAGTACTATAATCATACCTTTGAGAGAGACTTTACTGTATTGATGATTTGTGAATTACTTCTCAAAATGCCTTGTATAGCAGCTTATAAGATTAACACTTCCACAAATAATCTTAAAAAGGATTCGACGAATTTGCTGCAGTGAAATCAAAAATATCCACATATTAGCTTATGACAAAATTTCGGAGAGAGAGTTCTTTTATTTAACAAGTAAATGACGTCAGGGTCACCAGTGCGTTATGACTTACTTCTGATGTATTTCTGAAATGTTACCACGTTAGAAATAAGTCGTCCACAGACCTTATTCCAATTTATTGGCTAAAGTTGCTTAGTAAACATCATGAAAAATATAAATGTAGCTGAAAATTATTTAATTATTTCTCGAATATTGCATCTGATCGCGGAAATTTCTTCTCTAGACTTGGTGATATTTTCAGGAAGCTGCATGAATCCTTAGGTACACTGTATCCAGTTATTCTCCAAATAAAAATGAGGGAAAATAATTTTTTCGTAACTTTTTCACCTGACATTTTACTGCGGTACGCCAAGCTGATTCTTCTTCATAGTATGTAACTGGACTTTATTCTTATTCAACTTGGTTGATTACTTTCACTTAGTTGAGGGATGACTATCTTGCTCCTGTCAGAAGTTTACTTCATTTTTCTATACTTGGTGCCCCTGCGTTTAAAAAAAGGTTCTCATGAATTTGGTGAGTATTTATTCTGTCATGCATTTGCTTGCTACACCTTCACAGATATTTTAGAGAATCGAAGTCATTTACTTCTCATAAGTACGATGTTGAGTCACTACAGTCTATTTTATCCAATTCCATTGCTGACTGATAAGGAGCCCGCGTCGTAACCTAAGGCATAATGGATATTTACCAGAGAAGAGTCCCATAGTGGTACGACACCATGGCTTCCAATGGTTCCCTAAATGATGCCGGCTTGTGACTGAATCCAGTTCGTTTGTCACAGCATTACGAATCACCTGGAAAGTTTTAAAAAGATTTACGTCTCTCAGATGTCATACAGAAGCGCATAACACTAAAGACTAGTAAAATACCACACATTTTCAAGAATCAAAGAGCAAATATATGCACTACTTAAAGTTTTCTTTGTTTGAACATAAGTAAAATCAAAAAAGGATTAGCCCAAGCTTTAGTAGCATGGCTTTTTCACTGTAACATTTAAGAATGACAGATATACCTGGAAATAACTGATGGGTTCAGACTGTTTAAATAACTATTTCGCTCAAATAGTGAATTGAAGACTGTTGAAAGTAAATTCGGTGAATATGTTATTAAAAAAGTCTCACTGTATCTCAGGTACATTACCTTTAAACTAATATACTCTATTTTCGTGTAAAACATAAGTTTTCAATATTTTCATAATTATACACCGTATATATGTATATATATTCACGCTATCCAATAGCGTCGTATGGACGATTTACTGGAATACAAATTACCCTCACCTGAATACTACAGGGAAATGAGAGGTTCCCTGCGTGCATTGAATGACAAGTTAGACACTCATCGCAAATTGCTTGATCGGTATTCCGGAATTGATATGAATGCTTCAACTGCTTCAGTTCAAGATCGAATTGAATCCAAATATCAACAAATTGCAGACAGGTTCGTTGGGTGGACAAATATTTCCCTTTAGTGTCTGTCTTCTAACAACCGGCTTATCTGATTAGATTTTATTTCTGTATGCTTTTTATCTTATTGCTTTATGAATGCTGTGTATAAATTAGCTTTATATGGTTTGTAATTACTCCCTACTAATTCATTATTATAATAATTTGTGTGTACTCTGTAAATCTGATAACTATATCCCAAATGCTGTTTTATATATTAAAACGTCCAGCATTTAAACTAGAAAACTCCAATCCTGTGATGACGTCTAATGTTACACAGAAAAATAACAAATGACCAGACACTTACATATCTTCCTCCCATAGAATGATTTCATCAGAAACCTATATAAAATAATTAGTATTTAATTGGTGGATGGTGACTAGCAGTGGAATCCAGGATGCGCATTTCGTCCTATTTGGGACTTGTTATCTGGATGTACCTGCATTTCTCAGTGAGTGATGATGTTCCCAATGAGCCTGGAACCCAGTGCCCGTAGTTTCAAACGCCAGAGCGTTATCCACTAGACCCCTTGGGCCACCAGAGCCACCTCTTGTGCAACGGGTCATATTAATTATTGAATTGAATTTTCGATTTTCCCGTCGATTGATTGGACCGAAGTGCTCGGTCTCAGGTTTACATGTCGGCTTCTTGTCCACTGGACACTGGGTCCCAGCCTCAGTGGGAAAATCATCACTCACTGAGGAGTGCAGGTACGTCCAGGTGACGAGTCCTAAATAGGACGAAATGCGCATCCTGGATTCCACTGCTAGTCACCATCCACCAACTAAATACTAATTAAATGCCCCGACATCGTCGAAGCGTCTGTACAAGAAGCCGACATGTCAACTTGAGACCGAGCACTTCGGTCGAATCAATCGATGGGAAAATCAAAAATACAAGTATATAAAATAATTCTGAACATCGTTGAGAACCTGATTATTAGCATTTGTGTAAATAATGCAATGTGTTAATTAACTTTACTTGTTAACTGTCAAATTTCAAGCTTCAACTGTATGATGAATAAAATAGTGCAGCCCACCTTATCTTAGAATACTAGATTATCCACCGTTCACCTTAAGATCAATATATCATACGTGAAAGCATTCAAGACAGAGCTATGTACTAATCACTAGTTTATTGTACATATAGTCGATAAATCCTTATCGATTCTTAAGGAATTATTACGCAAATCCATAAAGTATATGTAATACCTCAGCTTTCATTATTATTCAGTTCATTATTAGTTCAGTTCATAACTACCGAGTTTTCATTTAAAGCCTAAGTGATAAAATATATATTTTGAGTCAAAGGCAAATTAAGTAAGTTTTTCTCTTATCTCTGAGGTCATACTACTCAATGGGTCATAACTGACAATTCTTCAAAGCAAGATATTTAGCTTTTTGCTTAGACATAAGAACAAAGTATAATGTGATTGGCTTTAGGTGATATATCTCAAAGTGCTTCTCAAGAAGTTTTATTTCTCTCACTACTAATGACTAATAGTAAACTGAGTAACTCAGATTTCTGTTTCTTTTAACCGCCCTCCCACAATATGAAGCGTACTTATTACTTCATGAATACAAGCTGTACTACTTATTATGAATCTTTATAAGCACTACTCAATATAGCTAAAACGGTGCAAGAAATGTATGCACCGTAGTTATTAATTATGTGATAACTATTTAAATTATATTGCACACTTAAGACAACCAGCTACATGCAGTGCATAAGGCAGTTAGTTGATCAAGGGAAGCTTTTGATTTCATCAGTCATTACCAGTTTTTTTAATTTTCCTACAACGTGTTCCCTTGATTACCTTTGTCAAGGCAAAAAGACAAGATTTGCACATATTTTACTTCCAGGTTTCTCTTCAGTGACATTTTGGTCTAGTTTTTGAGATTTATTGCGAAAAACAAAATTTTGACTTAACTGAAAGAAGAAGAAATCTGATTCCACTACCACACAAACATGATGGAAATACTTTTATAAGTAAAAGCTTTTAGATGAAAGTGGTCATAGAAAAATTTCTCAAAATGTTATCATTTTGAGTTCTGGAACTTGCTTTATGCTAAATTATACTGATATTGTGAGCTGCAAAGTAGAAAGGTGTAGATATTATCTTACTCAGTGCTTAGAAATACTTCCATGAATAAATGTCGTTTATCGACAGAATAGGCAAAAAAGTAAGTGAAGTAAATGTGAAGAAATTTCGTTACTCTATCCCTTGAATAATCTGTTAAAAGATAAAAGCTCCTGAAGTTTGATTCTTTCTCAGAGATAAATCAGTGTGAAGAGCTCCATCATTCACGCAGTTATTTTCACAAACATAAGAGCGTTGAATAAGCTTCGATATTACAATCGTGAATTCTTCCCAGCCGTTAAATCTGAATTGAATAAATAATTCAGAGATATCATAAGTGATCATTTCATAAATAGGATGTTATCACATCTTTATGTTAGTAACTAATCATCACAACACCAAAAAAACCCGTGTACTTACTCGCTCTTCTTCAACAGAATGGGCCGTCGAACCACGTGAGTTTAGAAATGAAGATTTAAAGAAGCCTACAATTTAAATTTTGATTTAATGAACAGCGATAAATTAGCATGGAGTTTTTTCATTGAAAAAAATAATAATTAATGACATTTAGTTTGTTACACAATTTTGCATTGAACTGCTGCAGTTATTTTTAACTGAATCTCTTCTTTCAACACAAAATAAGCATATAGGTGAACTTTCATTTCATAGATATGCATAACCACTAAGGATTTAGTTTTAACATCATTATAAAATGCTAACTGAAACTGAATTTATCATACCTGTTGCTTTCGCTTGATTCCTTGACTGGCTTCATATTGCTTCATAATCTTGTACGGCTTTAAAAACAACACTTTATTGCTTTCCCGTTCAAAAACTGCTTTGCAAATTTTAAAAAAATAAATAAATAATGAGGATGAACTCACAGATTGATGACCAATAAATATTATTTAAACAAAAATGAATACATTTTCATACTGATCATTTTCACTTTTGTTTTACTTTAAGTTGATTTATGTAAATACAGTTCTACTTAGAATTGACATATGTTATTGCGCAGTCTGAAGAGTTTAACTGGAACTGAAATGACACTTAATGTAACTATAGAAACAAGCATCCATTCATGTTCAGCTTAAAAGCCACCTTGAAAATCCTACTGAAAATCTGTCATTATTTTAATGGATATCTCCTACATCGGTATCATCACTGATTGATGAGAAATATCTTCAAACAGGATGACTGTAACAAACTCATCCAGCTAGACAACAACAATAAATCACTATTTTTTTCCTTTGCTTGACTATTTTTATGTTATAGTTTTTGTGTTGAAATTGAAATAGTTTTATTTTTATTTTATTATTTACTGACTTTTGTCTGTTTCTTTTTGTTATACCCTCCTTTTTTCCCCTAACTTTTTCTATTGCATGATGCCTGTACTAATGTTATTCATTATCATGATGTACCTACAATACACCTGTATACGTATACACATATACATCTATATTAATGTTTTTATACACCTAAATGTCTAATTGTCTGGAAACTTAATGCGATTATGACCATATATATATATATATATATATATGGCTGTCTGAAATGCATGTGCTACCTGCATATATGTGTAAAACCAATCTTGACTAATAAATATCGGTTAATGAAATAAATTAAATGGAGAACTTACTATTATTCAGAATATCAGGATTAAACAGTTATCGATCACACGGGCCAAGCATAAATACATCAGAGCTTGAAACACATTTGTACTACACCAGTCCACAAACTACGTCGGTAGGTTAAAACATCGAGAGGATAGTTAGCAAAATATTAATTGCGTGTGTAGAGTATTAATTAGACACACACAAGAAACATTCTCAACAATATCAAAACAAATACAAAATAAAAAAACTGATTTGGTTGGGAAAAACAGTAAGATGAATTGCTACACTTCTGTAGGTGAATTCATAATATGAAATCTTGGCATCCTATTGAATTCAAACCTTCATGTAGCCACTATACCTAATTGACGTCATCTGGAGTTAATTTCCCGCAGGATTACAACCATTTCTTGTGAAAGTTAATCCCCATTAAACTTTGATGAAAAGCTGATAAACAATTCTATTTTTAGACCATATAATACATTGTGAATTTGAAGTGAACAGTAAATTCATTCAGTAGATGAACTAAAATTTCTCTAGCAAACCAAAGTTAAACCAAAATATTTTGCGCAAACTTATGTATAAATGAATACCTAATTAAAGCAAAACAAATTATTACCAGTTTTATTAGTAGTTATGCATGAAATATTTTACTGCATGTATTTTATTGTATTCAGCTGTCTGCCTAATTAACCTCAATGCTATGAATGTTTTGCACATAAATTGTAACTGATTGTAGTGCATCCCTGATTATCTCTATGCAAAATAAGAATATGTGTGTATAAATAAAAGTGTGTGTAACATTCCAAAAAGAAAGCAACTAAGAAGTGAACAGTTCTCAGTCTAGGACTGCATAAATAGCACTTAATTTCATCGTAGTGATTGACGCTTCCAAAGCCACATTCATAAGTGCATATATGCTTATATAATTGAGTAATAGGATCTTGTGTAAGAATTGTAACTCCTAACTCATCAAATAAAAATGATTATCGATAAAATGTGTGCTTATTCACTTTTTGATAACAGTGGAGTGATTGACACTGACTTTCAGAAAATAAAAATGAGTGAAAACAGTTTAAAGTACACTTATAGAATGTGTTTGGAATTCGTTCTCAGTATCCTGGAGTCCTTAAACTTACTTTATTACTCAGAAATTAACTATATTTGTACATATGTACATAAGTACGCATAAATTAATGAGGTTTAGGATAAAATACAAGTGGATATCACTTTATTGTAAGCGAAATGATTCATGGTCAAATATACTTCATTGTGTTGGTTTGAAAATTGTAGTGCATGCCAACTTGATGTTTAAAAATGTTTACATTTTATGTGTTTAACACAATTAAAATTTTACTTCAGGGCTATGGGACGGGATTAGTCTATCCTGAGGGTAGTCAAACTTCTGAACTAAGAGGAAGAATCAAGCGCCTTTTGTGTCGATCCCGACGTGATCCTCATTACTATCGTTACTTACCAACTGGTGTCGTCTAAATTTGATGATGACTAAATTCCATGTTCGACCATGGTGTTCTTGCTGTTACTGTTATTATTTCTTAATACTACACCGCATGCTTCTTCACTTAATGTCCCTTCAATATAAACAAGTTATCTACTTAGTTATACCCTTTATCTTACAATTACAACTTTTGTTTTAATCTAACTTTCTTTGGCGACAATTCAAAATAAACTAGCAATTTTAATTTTGAGATAAAAAAAATTATTCACCCTGACCTATTTATATACATATATTTATACAAACAAATGAAAAGATAGTTTTTCGAGTTTTTCTTCTTACTTAACAACTTTAATTACCCACAGAAGTATCTATCATCTTTTGTTGCAAACTGAAATTAACAATAAAGTAAAACAATTTCGTTTGAAAAAGAAAAGCAAGAAGAACCAATGACAAATTCAAAACAGATTAGACTTGTTTTAATTTCGTTCTGTTATTAATTAATACTATTAAAGTTGTTACAATTATCAGAACATTTGTTTGTTCTTCTTTTGTTATCAGTATAAAGTTTGTTCTGTCAAAATTTACTTCGATTTAATTTGTTCCGTCAATCACTGAAAGAATTACAGATGAATATTTAAAATGCTTTTGAAGGAGCTTTTGTTCTGATTCTGTTTTTCCTCATCTTTTCATTTGCTTGTTTTTTCCCTTGACCTTCTGTCTTCTTGGTTTCACTTAATATGAAGTGGATCAGATTGAGCTTAGGTATTAAAAATGCTATATACAGTTTATTTTGATTGTTTTCTCATAAAATTCTTATCACAATGCAGTTAAACAGATATTGGTTGTTAGGATGTAAGGAAATGTCAGTTTAACAGAAAATTATGCTTTAAATTTAGGCTTGTTTAATGTAATAAGATGGGTTTCGCATGAGAAACGTTGTGTACTTGAACGAACTGATAACGCATTTATTTTTCAAGACATTTTACATAACTACTGAAAACAAAAGGTGCTGAAGAATTAAAAATTAGGCACCAGGAGTTACAAAAATAAAAGAATAACAATATTAATAATTATTAAAACAGAGGAAAAGCCTATGACGCAAATAGACTGTGAGGAGAAAACTACTTGTAAGAGGTATATTAATTAAATATTCCTCATATTAAATTGCTTCTTAATCCTGGTGTATATTAAAAGAGAAAGGTAACTACTGATTGGATGTAAATAATGCAAATCGCGACCTCAAAAACCGTCGGCATGAGCAGACTATGGTATAACATAACTTTTTTTTAACAAGAAACTTATTGAAGTATTCTAAACTGAACCATCAGGTAGTAGAAGTGCAACAAAAACCGAATAAGACAGCGAAATGATCCTTACATCAATATTTAAACATCACGATGTCAGAGTGAAACAATCTCAGAAAGTCAATGTTTAGAGATTTCTAAACTGCAAGCTCGCAATTATTGTCGAAATCTTTAACCTTTGTTTCTATAAATAACTGGACCATTACATTTTTTCTAAATATGAAACTAATACAAGTAATGTTCAGCAAAACTAAGTCTACTGATTCATAGACTGTATTAACCACAAATAGATTTCCCCAGGCATAAGTCATATCATAAAAAATCAGCATATGGAAATTTCTCTTGTGAGTATTAAATGTTGTCATTGTAAGCATCAGCTTATTGATTTTATCCCTGAATTTTCGTTAAATATAGTGTATCTAATGTCTTTTTCTTCTGTCATACTAATAAAAGCATGCTACAAGCAACTGATGTATGATAGTTTTAGCCCAGGAGATATTTATGCTATTACTTTATTGTCTTGACAGCCGATATTTTTTTATATTTTTGATTTACAGCTTGATTCCACACTGTATTTTCGGTACAAGTATGAAATTTTCGACGACTACATACAAGGAATTCCTTGTATTATTATCCTTATTTTGAAATAAGGATAATAAAAGAAGTTGAAATAAACGAAAAATCTATTCCTAATCGCTACCCTAACCCAACCCTAGCCGTAACCCTAACCCTAACCATTGTGCCACCGACGCACACAATGACCGTAACCCTAACCCTAACCACAATACTCACCTTAACCCCTATCCTAACCCTAACGAGATGTTAACACATTGTCCAAACAGTAATAAAAGTGTTATCTGGGTGAAACTTGCTCCTTATTTGATGAATAGGGTTGATATTTCAGCTATGATAATGACAGGAACCGTTAGCCAACGACTAGCATGCGTTCAAGGTCATTTGAGCGTTGAAGGTTTTGGGACGCTATTCTTAAACTTCGCCGACCATAGATATCAGGTGTGCGTTGGCGGGGGTTCGAACCTCGGACCATGTGCATGGTCGGCGAAAGTCCTAACCAGTGTGCCACCGACGCACAATAATATAGCTTGTCAGGACCCACAGCACTTCCATCTAATCATACCAACGCAAACCATATTTTCGATAGCCAATTTTCTATCCCCAGTTAATAGTGCAAGAATGGGGGTTATATTGGCTCATACAGTCTGTATAAACATGTTGTGCAGTAAATTTATTTCAAAAGCACAATATTCAAGAAATGCTGTGATTTTTAGATGTTGACGGTATAAACGTTCACGAGCAGTATTAAGTATATTAACGCAATCTCTTACACCGACAACTTCCAATGTATTTCAATCTCGCGTACCAAAGGCAAAGCAAAAGATAATATTTGATCGTCCAAATTATGCCATATATTTCGGGACCAAAACGAACCGTCAGACGAACGCTTAGCTGGCTAGTGATCGTGCCGCAAGTGACGCGACGGAGTACTAAATGGCGGGGATGCTTGACCGAAAACCCTTAGCTAAACAAGTCGACTTAAACAGTGGTGGTCAGCATCCAATTTTGAGTGATTGCTGTGGTCAATAAATTCTGGGAATTATTTACCGCCACATATTCAATTCTTGACTATAAAACATCATAAAATTCATGACAGTATATGTGGTTGGAATTTAACTCATTACACAAGGATCTCAAAACTATATTTTGAATAGACACTTGATTCTGTCTGATGAAATGACTCCCTCATGGTTTTAAAATGTTTCAAGCTTGTATGCATACTGAAGTGCGATTCACACAAGTTCACTAAAATATTTGAGACTCATATCAGCAAGACTGTTAGTTATAAAACACAATATTTTATGCCATATGTCTAATGTCGTCTTCACGATGTCTGATATCCAGTAAATTATTCACAATCTTCCAAATTATTTCATATAAAGACACAAGAGAAAAAAGAGAAATGATACAGGGACATCCTAGATGAAGAACTACTGTCATTATGTGGGAAAAGTCACTTTGTGAGAATAAATCTACTTTACCTTAAATTATGGTGGTAAATCATGTTCTGATCAGAATGCAGCTATATACATCACCATCGAACAAAGCTTAGAATGGCAGTCAAACTTCAACTTCATTGACTTAAAAAACGAACTCGACAGACAGCGCTGACGGAGAAGTAATTTTGAAACTGCTTCAACTTCTTCTTTGCCAACCTCATTCAACAGATGGCTATATGGCCATGCCATGTGTCAGGTGATCAGCAACGAGAAACTCAGTGAGGCGTTCGAAGTGAATACAGGAGCAAGACAATTTGGCTGCCTATTATCACCGATGATATTCTTAACTGCGGCGGACTGGATTAAGCGTCAGACTGTGGAAGGGGAAGATAGGCATGTGCTTAACTGAGACTCCATAAGATCTTGATTTTGAGGACGATTTACGCTGAATGACACACAAATTCGAGGACTTGCATTCAAAATTCAATAAGTTGGCGGGCGATACAACAAAAACAGGCCTGTAGGTGAACACGTAGAAGACAGTAGTGATGAAGATAACCAACCAAAAGCATCAACAAGAACCAATAACTATCAAGGGAAAAAATTTGGAAAAGAGGCACCACCCCTAATTATCTGGGCATTATCGTTTCAAATACAGGTGGAAGGGATGGGAATGTCAAAACCAAATTTAGATTTTTAAAACCAATGTTAATTGAGTGAGTTCTACCGAGTTGGTCAAAGATTTCATGCATCATCAAAGGCATTTCCAATAGGCTGTCCCGGACTTTCATCAACAGCTGCTTTATCTCCATGCTTGAGATCGAATATCCACAAAGAACAAGTGACAAAAAACTATGCGAGCAAACCAACCAAGAACCGACTGCTCGACAAATATGTAGAAGAAAACGGAGGTGGATTGGACACAAGCTAAGGGACAGTCAAATGACGGCGGATGAAAGCTTATGGGCAGTCGCGTGGGCTGCAGAGAAAAGGACAAGGTGGAGACCCATTGCTGGAGCCTAATGTTCCACCTGGAACCCCAGGGAATAGTAAGACTAGATATGGAGCATGAAATATCCAATAGGTGAAAGTGTATGTTGAGCACGTGCTGGTGGTGATGATATGCAAATCTGTTGAAGGGCGGCCCCAGGATTGCTGTTTTCCTACATCCTGTTTCATTAGGATGATATTGGACTACTATTTAGAAGTATGGCTCTTTCTTGCGGTAATCTTGTACATAAGACTGATGAAAACGTTTCAGACAGTGAAGTGAACAGTAACTTGATGAGATCAACCCCAGCAGTCACTTGGAAAATTACTGCCTGACTTTTCTGATGAGAAATTAACGGAGGTAATCGGATTTTTGAGGATTATGAGAGTGATAACTGCATTTTCATGAGTTTTCATAGTCTTGTATTCTTAGATATTACTTTGTCAGCCCTAGGTATTGTATCGTTTTGTCACTAGTTTGAGAAGTGTCAAAGCAGCTACTTGGTAATCTAGGCTAAAGACTCATAAGTCGTATGGCCGATGCGTAGGTCTGGCAACATAGATAGCCTCACAACAATCACAAGCGTGATTTTTAGTTAAATCGAAATAAAAATGAGCTCTAGGTCGTTCGAGCAGTACAGGTAACTGGTATCGTAGAAGATCGTAGCCAAACGTTCACGGACACAGTCCAAATGCGTGTGAGTAAATGGGAGATTCAGAGAAACTTAGGCTGCAACCATATATTTAAAGCTGTATTAGGAGATTTGTCAAGAAGAACACTTAGACCAGTACAACTAGCGTGTTTGTCAGTGGAAGAAATCATACACAGTGCAGCTGTTCAGCACTTTAGATGAAATGAAATTTTGACAGGGGGCGATATAGTTTTAGAGCTTGTAATCCTTTCTTCATTAACTAAATCATATATGCTGATGCTGTGTTCAATGGTTCCATTGGAGCTTTTACCAGAAATGAATTCACTAGCTTTACATTGCGCTTTCGATATCACCGTTTGGTGGTATAGAAAATGGTTCTTGGGGTGGCATGAAGCAGTGCCCCCCAAAGATGAATCTGTTGAAACAGTGGCACGCGTATTTGCCTTACGATGGACCGCAAGTTTTGGATGCCCACCCTCCACAACAAGTGATAATGGGCGCCAATTCAGAAGCGGTTCATTCCTAGATTTGACTGAAATCCCAGTTTGTATTAGTTTCAGGACAACGGCCTAAAATGCTCAAGCTAATGATATGGTAGAACGTTCACACCGACAACTGAAGGCTGGGTTGTCAGCTGCAAACTATTTATATTTGACTGAATCACTGCCGTTAGTTCCCCTAGGCGTACGAAGTGCTTTGAAAACTGATGCCGATTGAACTGCTGCCGAGCTAGAATATCGCGCAACAATATGACTACCAGGTGTGTTCGTTTCTGCCTCCAGCTTCTTGCCAGATCTAGATCACCCCTCGTAGGTTAGCAGGATTACAAACGCAATGCGTTCAGTTAAGCGTGCCCGCCTCCAACCGCCGTCCATAGATAGATGACATCACACATGTTTCAAAATTTCTTCACATATAATTTTTTGTCGTGGCTCCGTACGTCACCCTCTAGAATCCCCAAACGACGGACCGTATAAGGTCATTAAACGTGTGGGTAAATCTTTTGTCCTAGACAAAAAAGGCCGCGGTGATTTTGTGAGCATCGACCGTCACCTGGAACTAAGCATTCCGAATAATACTCAGGTTACCGAATATCAATTAGTCCTCGGAGAAATCACTGGCACGGCAAACGCCGCCAAACCTTCTATGGAGACCCCAAAGAAAACGCATTCTCGACGAGCCGTGAGATTCCCAGGACATCTTCCCACTCATGTCTCTTAGCGAACCAACCAATTTGTCGCACTTATGGTGTGTTGTGTTCTCAGGCACATGCATTTACTTCTTATTGCATACCGCAACACAGGCTACATATCTATATAACTGTATGTGCTTCATCCCTTAAAAAAACTGTATCTTCCTCGATGTCCTATATTCCGCATTATTTCTATGTATGGCTAATGTATACCATTATTTGAACGTCATTTTTGGTACATTTTCCCCGGCAAGTTTCTCAGCATGCTTGTTTTCTATTCCAGGTGTGACGGACACTGGAGAAGAAGCAAACTAAGCACGAGATCCAACATACAAATATAAATGAAGCAATGCATAGGCACCCAACTAGTGTACTAGTAGTCGGTGGCACAGTGGTTAGGACTCTCGCCGACCATGCACATCGTCCACGCCCACGCCGACGCACACCTGATATCTATGGTCGGCCTGCGAATTTTGGGCTACCGATATCCACGCTGAAAATTCAACACTTGTACCAAAAATATGGTGTGGAATCAAGCTGTAATCAAAATTTAAAAAAAATTTAAAAGATTTAGGCAGACGACCAGTAGGAACTACATTAAGCCGAACGGAAAAGTTTTACTAATGGTAAAACCATTGGGTCTCAAACTCTGGCTGGTGTCGTCTTAGCGTTATTACTGCTTCTCTAGGGTGGGAGTGAACCGTAGCAGTAGGTAATTCCCCGGAACTATTAGCCACAACATTCACCACTGAACACTGGATGCTAACTCTCACTGTTTAAGTCAACTTGTTTAACTGAAGGGTTACGGTCAAGCATCCACACCATTAGACACGCCGTGGTGTTACGCTCGTTCGTTCATGAATGATCCCTAGCAAGTTAAGCAGTCAAATTTGGTCCTAAAATATACTTCGTAATTTGAACGATCGATTCTGGTGTTTCGCTTAACCTTTGGTCTGCGCGGAACGAATACTATAGAAGTTGTGGGTATTAGATCTTGCGTTAGTTTAAATCGTACTGTCCGTGAACGTCAACACCCTCAGCTTCTAAACATGTAATCGCGTAGTTATGTAGCTGATACTAACAATTCACATAATTAATCCACAAGTAAACTAACCTCACTAATGGCTACCGAGTGTATGGCTGTAACACCTCAGGGTAACTGCTTTGAAAGGTTCTTATTGTCACATTCTTTCTCCGAACATATATACACATGTGTCTAACATCATCTGGAATAAAGCGAACAATCCTGCACTTTGAAGAGTAATCATATTTGTTGAACAGAGCTCAAGGGGCAAAGACTAAAAGAACTTGAAGATCTCAGTTTTCACACTAACATAAATTATGTCTACTGCATTTATTACCAGTGAGAACAACACTCTAGTGATGGGTTCATATCAGTACTCCGTGCCATATGGAATAACGGGGATTGATTCCTTCCATGTGACTCACCTTTTTTCTTAAATGAAATGGCATCACTACAGAAAATATATCTGGAAGTTTATTTGTATCCATAGGTTTGAACCCGTTCAGCTACCATCTGCAGCAAGTAATTTCATGGTTATTCTGTTGATCCATTCCAAGCAGTTGTGAATAAGTACAAGCGACAAGCAAGAAAAGCTCTGCCATCCCAAAAAGACTTGAAATCGGCTTTTGTTTGAATTCATCACAGCTAGTTTTTCTCTAATAGTAACCTTTTCGAAATACATTTTTAATTTCGCGTTGCACCAAAAAATGACCAAACCAAAGATTGGAATCAACGGATTTGGTAGAATAGGCAGACTTGTATTGCGGGCTGCATGCTACAAAGAAACAGTTGAGGTTGTCGCGGTTAATGATCCTTTCATAGATATAAATTATATGGTTTATATGTTTAAGTACGATTCGACACATGGCACATTTCCTGGTGATGTAGCCGTTCAAGACAAAAAGCTTTGTGTAAATGAGATGAAAATATCTGTTTATAATGAACGAAGTCCTGAGACAATTCCATGGGATAAAGACTGTGCAGAGTACGTTGTTGAATCAACCGGCGTCTTCTCAACTATTGAAAAGGCTCAGGTGAGAAATTTACGATTAATATTTATGCTTTTTAGGCGCACCTAAAGAACAGTCGCGCTAAGAAAGTCATAATATCGTCACCTTCTGAGGATGCTCCAGTGTTTATATGCGGAGTAAATCTCGACAAATATGATAAGTGTATGAACGTTGTCTCGAACGCATCGTGTACTACCAATTGCCTAGCACCTCTAGCCAAAGTCATACACGAGTCATTTGGTATAGAGGGAGGTATTGTTACCAGTGTCCACTCATACACAGCTTCACAGAAAGTCGTAGATGGCCCTTCCTCTAAATGGAGAGAAGGAAGAGGTGCTGCTCAGAATGTTATACCAACCACTACTTGTTCAGCTGTATCAATTGGGAAGATCATACCTGAATTATCGGGAAAGTTAACTGGCATCTCTTTCCGGGTCCCAACTGCTGATGTTTCAGTGGTCGACTTGACATGCAAACTGTCAAGACCTGCAACATATGAAGAAATAAAGGAAGCAGTTAAGACGGCATCTAGAGGTCCAATGAAAGGCATCCTTGACTACACAGAAGACCCAGTTGTGAGCATTGACTTCAAAGGCTGTTCTGCCTCCTCTGTTTTCGATGCTAATGCAGGAATGCAACTGAATGACACATTTGTGAAGCTGATATCATGGTAGTTCACTATATATACGTAATTGATATCCTTTTTAGGTACGATAATGAGTACGGATACAGCTGCCGACTTGTTGACCTAATCTGCCATATGTACCTTGTGGACCACTAAAATTATGTAACATATACTGACTAAACTGGAAAACTCAGAGTAATACAGTTTCCTATTTCTATTTATCTGATTAATTTTTCATTTTTGTCAGCTGGATCGGCGAAAGTTTAGTACTGTATTCATACTGACATTCTGATGTTTAGCTAGTCTGAAAAAGTCATGAAAATCATAAAATGCTTCTCCGCTACAACTTTAGTCTTCACTGGTGTTTCCTTGCACTACTACTTTTTATGTCGTGTTTTACTTCTTTACGGGCCCTTACGTACTTGTCCTTGGATTCTATAATTCCTTCGATGGAACTGATGGTTTAATTCGTCCACACAAACTGCCGACGGTACAAAATGGAAGGTGTTCAACACCTCTGTTTTTACAGATAATGAATAAGAAGCTACACAGCAATAAGACAGAGTATCACCAAGCCTAACGTATTACTACTTTGTAGAAGACTTTGAGAGCTATCTTTAAAACATTCTCTTCTATACACGCTGAAACTTTAAGTCATTTTATACCATTCCAATATGCTTCTAGGTATCTTAATGACAATTCAAAAATGCGACGATACTTCGAGATAGACGCATCGAGTTGCAACCGTATAATATGTTGAATTCAAGCTGTTTGTAACTGTAGTTAGGTAGTAAACATAGAAAAAGTTGAGAAATTGTTATCTTCGGCCAACTTCTACATGTCTTGGAGCACAAGACCCTTTAAAAACTTCTATGGGAAGAAGTGCATATATAAACACATAATATACGGTAAAACAGTAACAAGAATAAATACACACAGATGCACAACAAATTCTCCACGTGTAATCCCATTCAAATAACCTTCTTACAAGAAACAAGTTATTACTCACGCAAGTATGAAGTTATAAGTTAACAAAACACATAACACAAAATTAAAAGATGGGGAGACAGTTCATACAAAAATAAATAGGACAGCACTGACAGTCTTCAATGAATTCAGAGTAAATTTATTAAGAAATCTGTTTGTAGCCTTTTATCAGAAGGTCCAAACCACCACCTTAATGATAAGTGTTGCATGATAGCGGTTCGCGAAGCACAACGGGCAAACTATCTTTAAGGAAAAGACAGGTATAATTTACTGGTAGAGTTAATTCTCCGCTACTTATGTTCTTTGATTAAATCAAACAAAGATAACAGGATTTAACACAAAGATTTCTGTGAAGACAAAACCTAATGAGTCACTTAATAAATAGCAGTCTCAAGTAGGGTGTTTGGAGTTTTGAGATTTGAAAATCAATATAAATCGACCAGTAAGATATTGTCGTGAATAACAAATAAAACACAGTGAATCCGGTGTTTGGAACTCTGCTAAGAAGGAAGACTATAGAATAGAGGATGTCAACACAATTACTGAATATAAACCTTCATAAGGAGACTGAAACTCCTGCCATATAGCAACGCATACGTCGTGGGAAGTAACTCCCACTTACTCAAGAAACCGACTACTTTTTTCTTAATCACTGGAAAAAATTATATTCTGATATTTGTGTGGGTATGACTCATTGGTTTAAGCACTCTACTTGCAGCCAGTGGGTTTCAGGCTAGAATTTCACTCCGCTTGCTTAGGCCTGAGAAGCCGGACAGCATCATTAGCCGTGACACAGTAAGTGTGATTCATAGCCCGGTACTTGGTCATTAAGTTCTAACTACTTGCAAGCTTACATTCACATACATTGGTAGATTTAAGATTCTATTTTATAATTAAATTATAGTACCACTGATCCTAAATTTATAACTACTTATGCAGTTTTTGAGGACTACTGCGTGGAGTGGGGTTGAAAATTTTACACACAAGGTAATTCTCCATAACTGTTATGCCGTGCACATCAATTATAAGAAGGCAAGATGAACAAACGCTTAACTCAACATTTCAGTATGAATTTGTGTGCGACACAGTAACAAGGACAGGAAATATATTCACTGGTCACCGAGTTCTATCCTTTAGGACCAATATTAAGGGCTAGACTCGTGACATTGATTACTCCTTAATGTGCAATCACTTTGTCCACTTTAGTTCTGCAGGAAATTAGTAATGAGCCTGAATAACTCAGTAGTAACGCCTTCGGTTCACCACTGGGTGACATGGGTTTGAATCTGCCAGTTACCAGTTCCTTTGAAATCACAGATACGTCTTCTTGAAAAGAACGACTATTGGGTTCAGAGCTTCCTGCCAATTATCTCCATCTACTGAAAGTGAATCACTGAAAAAATTGAGTAGTCATAAACGCTTGCGAATTCATACAACTGGTCATCATTTCAACGAATTTACAGAAACTCATACTGGTAGTTTTAGCACTTCTAGTCTCTTTCGTGTAAGCCGTTTAATTTGTCTACAACTTCTAAAAAATAGGTAGACGGAGCCTTTTACTGAGGTTGATCCAAATAAATAAAAGTGAAGTGCAGACATACACTTCTGATACCCAAAGTTATCTTCAAGTGTTGCTTTGTAGGGAATTCAATGACTTTAAGCTAGTTCACAACCTGACATCAACCAAAGAACCACTCAAAATCAGGAAGTATTGGATAGTTGCTTCATCCGAAATTAGAACTGTCCTGTAACACTCACGAATGACCTCACTGGAGGTCGAACCAAAGACCTTTAGTTAAGGTGGCGAGCTCTTTAGCTGCTCAGCCAGCGGAATGGAATCTAATCACCTATGGATTCCAATTTCTGCCGATTTGCGATATATATTGTCATCTCCAGACAATGTGATCGGTGACCATCTATCCTCGTCATCGATCCCAACTTTTCAATATACCTCCATCCAGTAGTGATTCACTAGTGATGAAATGATTAATTTTGACGTGTTGGTTTATACAGACTTGACTGACTTAAAGGTAGTTCCCTTACCTAATTTCTTTTTTAATATTCCGAATATATAAGATATAAACACATATGATTAGGTGGGAATTTACATATGTTACTAGGAAATACACTACTTGGTGTAATGAAGTCGAAAATATCATCCTGCTGTAAAAGAAAATACAGGTTACTGAAGTCCTATCAAACCGCTCATGGAAACTTCTTTGCAACTAATATCTGTGGTTGCACTATAGAATGAGATTTATAAAATTACTGGAAACCTGCGTCTGCATTCAACTGCACACCCTAGGAAATAACTCTAAGGGTTATTTACTTGTTTAAATTTTCATAGTGTGATAAATAACAATTCTCGTGTGTTGAGAGCCAAAGCAATGTATACAAGTCTTCATCATCACCTTTGACATTACAACACTAATAACCTTGTTTACGCATTACTTACGTTACATTTTAGATGTCACTCACTACCTTACTAAGTTCGTTTCCAATTTAAGTTTTAAAACAGGCTAAAAGGAATTATAGTTTTGTGTATCACAATCTGCCTTAAACAGCTAAATGGAACAACACAAGTCAATATTCATGAATTCACTTAAATGAAAGGTGAAAAACTACGTTGTTTAGATGTTTGTAGTAAATACAACCACATGCTACACTAGTCATTCTAATAAAAAATAGTTTACGTGTGAATTAAAAAATCGCTAAACATTACGTAATCACTCAATTATTGCTCATTCAAGAACCAAACGTAATTCGAAGTGGTTTTCGTTCATAGACGCGAATTCAGTCTAACTAGCAAATACCACAATATAGTCTTTAAGTTGAGAAAGTGAGCAAGAAACTTAAACATAGGCATAAATAACGGTTTATTGAAAAATAACTACACCCAATATTTTATAGTTATGGAAGGCAAAGTTTAACAATTTATTAGGTAACAAAAGTAACAGTTTTAAAATGAAAGTGACAAAAATAAATATCATTTTCATAGATAATCCATCCACCATAACTGTAAAAATGTACATCTTACAAGAAAAGTGAAAAATATTACTAAATTCTTTGGGTGCAACAAAATACTTGTTACCATTTGGAAGACTGAAATAAATTCGAATTAAGAAAAAAGCTATATTGGAAAGCATCACATGCCAAATAATAATAATTGTGTAGTCTAAAAATAAGATTCCATAAGCTTTTAGTTCAATCTATTCTGAAAGAGTAACTGGAGAACGAGAATGGCTGTCATTCGACAGTGGATTCTGAAAAATAAAAAGACATAAAGGTAGATATATTATATCAATTATTTACAAACAAAAGCAGAAACTCTGTTGCAATTCAAGCATATGAACGATATCCTCACAGAAAGCTTCCTAAGATTATAATATTATTCCCTTGCGTCCAAGTGGAATATAGGGCTTAAAGACATATGTGCTTGAAATCATGTCTGAAATCTTTTTTTCTTCCTTTAAGTTCCCAGTGGAACATAGAGCTTCAGGCTAGAGGCTTGGAGTTTCAGTACCAATGGTGTTTATTTTTACGGGATACGGTTGCTAGCCTCATTCCCAACCTTCCCTCTTTACCGGTCTTATTACTGGTTTATTGGTGTGAGAGAGTGCGTCGGCCGAGGATCGAACTACCTGCGTGGTTGGCGAGCATTCTACCGCTGTGCCACCAACGCACCTGTCTGAAATCTACAGCCACAAAAATTAGACACTACCTGTAAATAGTCCTAATGGGCTCACATAAGCAAACTAATCATAATAAAAATTTTATAAAGTGAGATTTTACTAACAAATAAATAATTACGAAGTCCTCTATCTATCTGACTTTTAACAAGTAAACTAATAAGCAGCTTTTTAAACAAATAAAAAAGAAAGGGTAAACTAAACACTCAGTGTAATTGCTTCTACTGTGGAAATGTTCATTATTCTTAGTGTACATTAGGGAAAGTATTGGAATTCAAAACCCTTATTTTATACAGAGAAAATAAGAAATTATAATCAAACTGTAAAGTTAGAAAAGATTATTATTATATCCTTTAATTCCTAGAGGAACATAGGGTTTCAGCTGCGCACCTCCATTGCCTTCGGTTTTCTGAAAACCTTTTCACTCCGCTCCAAGTCTGCCCACATACTTTCATCTCCTCTTCACATGACCTCTTCAAAATCACCCTTGGACGACCAACTCGCCGCTTCCCTTTCGGGTTCCACTCGAGCAATGGCTTGTCTAGTGATGTCACTTGATGGTTTCCTCAGAGTATGGCCAATCCATCTCCATTTCTTCCTGCTTATTTGTTTCACAATCGGTTCCTGATTGGTTCGCTCCCAGAGATCCCTGTTGCTGATCTTTTCTGGCCGGCCATCTGATCTTGAGTATTGAGCGAAGACAACTGTTGATGAAGGTCTGTAGTTTGTTTGAGATTCTCTTCATGACGCGCTGGCCAAGTCTCTGATCCGTAAAGTAGCACTGACTTGACATTGGAGTTGAAAATCCAGATGTTATTTTTGATGCTGAGTGCTTTTGACCTCCACACAGACTTAAGAGTAATGAAAGCTTGTCTTGCTTTTCGATTCTGGCTTTGATATCCTCGTCAGTTCCGCCTGTACTTGAAACGATGCTTCCCAGGTAGGCAGGTGAAGTAGGTTGTTTCTTTCAGGTTCCTCCCATTTATGCTGATTGTCGTCTGTTGTTGTTGTTGGTGTTGGCCAGGAATCTTCATCACCTCTGTTTTATATGTTCACCTAAAGTCCTATCTTTGATGCTTCTTCTGCCAGCTTGTTGCTTTTCACTTTCATATCTTCCAGTTTGTGGGAAATTAGACATATATCATCGGCGAAGTCCAGATCCTCCAAGTTTTTTGTGTGAGTCCATTTTATGCCTGTTTCCTCATTGCCCGTTGTCTGTCGCATTATTCAGTCTACTGCAATCAGAAAAGATAGACATATACGAATCAGTGGTCTTCCTGAAAACTAATGTAAATGATATCGAAAAAGTACTTTACATCGAAAATGAAATGAATGAATGCTATGAAAAAACCTCTTTAACATCATTTATTATACGGAAGAGATAAGAATAAAGATGATGACTAACACCCTTAGAAGAGAAAATAATGAAATAAGTTCAGACAAAACCGAAGTTTTAACATCTTAGTATTACATCTTCTTCTTGACATTCACCACATTCAAAACTCGAAACCAATAACTTCAGTATTACCATCAAGCAGTCAGTCTGGCAGAAACTGTTTTAATCTACTACGTGATATCAGATGGAATGTAAGAAAAAATAAAAGCGGCACCACTATAAGTGGTAAAAAGCTGTAAAACAAGAAGCGATAAATATCAAAAGGAAATGATGGTGTTTAAATTAACACAAAGATAAGACATTTTGCGGTAGTAATCTTAACTACCGCTTCTCAAAAACCCTGATACGCAAAAATAATCCATCATGTTTAGGGTTTTAATACAGTTAGTATGACCGTGAAGAGACGGCGTCGTCGTGTGGTAAATTCTACCCAAAGACCCTGAGACTTAACATGTTTCACTTACATACATTTGATAAGCTTGTATCTGATAACAGTAATATGAGGAGTCATGGAACTTAGGAAGGTATGCTTGGGAATAAAACACGCTGAGTCTATACGCGATGTCATCATGTAACTATGAAATTATAGAACTCAAAAGACCCGAGTGTTATGAGGTGAATCTCATCACAGTAAATATAGGCTATCGTGTAGGAGCTTTATTCTTATGCCAACTGTCGGAGCATACTAAATGAAAGGATTTGTACCTGTCTGTCTTTGTTTTTACATTATGCAAAAATTATCCCGATGACTATGTTGTAAAACGTGATCTGAAAACGTACAGAAAAGCATATTAGCTGCATAACAATTAGAGTTAAGAGCGTTCCTTAGGTTAACGAAATCAATGATATATCATCTTCAGATATGCCCAAAAATTTAAACTGAAGGAAATTAGACACAATCCAAAACCAAAGAGTCCACATGAAAGAGATGAAGGGTATTATTTAACTAAGAAACAGTAATTGCTACATAAAAATTTGGCATGTGCAAAACTATTTAAAGGAGTTAAATTACAACTTCATGAATACGCTACCTGAAGAATGGCGACATGTGGATCATCCATATCACCCAAACTAATGACGTCTTGTTTTGATGACAATGAATTCTCAATAATGTAATAGTACTTTGGTGATGAAATACCAAGACCCCAAGCTAGTTTCTCTCCAAACCAATCAATGAAGCGCAAAAGAACGTTATTAGGGCTAACCTGTGAAAGGAATTAACGTATTTTTTAAATCAACAAACCATCACAGATGTTTCCAAAAACCTTTCAATTTCGTGTCAAAATTCAACAAATATTTGATGAGAAGACTAAAAACTTGTCTAGAATTTATCATACACGACAATAATCCAAAACTTAAAAAAAACACTTACTGCATGAATAAATCAAAATCTTTCTAAGAACGCAATTGTGATGCATTCCAAAAAAGTGTAAAAATTTGCCATAAATATATATATATATATATATATATATATATTTCAATAGGTGATTCAAAAGTTTCCCACATATTATGTGCGTAGAAAGCCAATTTACGACTTTATTGGTCAATATTAAACTAAGATACCTTTCAGTACCCTATTACTCATGTTCATTTTAATGCCATTTTCATTCCAAAACAGCTGCACTTTTCGCAAAGTCCCACATAACTTAGTTAACAAAAAGGTTTTGTGACACTTTAATGCGCACACATGTGCCGTACAGAGTTTGCTTCCAAATACTTCTACCACAAGCAAATTCAACTATTTACATTTAAAATGCTTTCTCATACACTACTACTCATGTAACTGGCAAAGTCCCTGTTACATTGGTTACAACAAAAATTGAAAATAAAGGTAATTTCACATACTTCTAAGTAGTATATTGTTCCAAACGTTACTGAATAAATTATAGTATAGCAGTCTGTGTCATGTCAAATAAACACACAAGGGACTAAATCAACATCCAAACAAATGAAAAGAACTCACTATGTTTGAGCTTTCTTGGCTGTCCTTATCGCTGAATTCCACAATGCCATCACTGAAATGTAAGGACTGTGACGACTTGCCACTGACTGACTGTTGGTCATCCATGGACAGAGATACTATTCAGGAATAGAAGAACGATGGTACCAACACAAGGGTATGAAACTTCTCCAATCTTCAGTGAGACTCACTGGGGTGCTATTTTAGAAATTTAGAAACAGAACTCATCAATTGGAAACTTTTAAGGAATATTAAATTGTCTTTAGTCATGAGGGTTTTAATCCACTTATTTTAGGAAGTATTAGGACGATAAATATGTTGAGTTCGAAATTATTTCTGGCAAAATAAGTATTTATTTCCATATAAATTTTATGCGTTGCGTTCTACAATTTTTTTCAAACTTTCCTGGACTGCAGAGAACAGTAAAACTTTGCCTTTGTAATACACTCCTAGAGTGACTATCAGAAACTAGAAATTAAGTCATCTATTAACTCTGTGGACGAAGATAAACTTCCACGATAGAAAACTTTAATTTAAAAAAAGAGGAATGCAAAATCGTGACTGCATAACAGTGTGGCGAAAATGAAGACCACACCTCATGCCAACAAGAAAGAAAGTTTTCCTTGCTCAGAACCACAAGTGTACTAATATGTATGAACAGTTAGTTCCTTTGATAGTATCATATGAACAATGTTTGTATGAACCACTTTGCAGAACAATCACGAGATTCGACGGAAAGAAGTCAACACGGCTTAGAATAAAAACAATTTGTAAATCTATGCATAAAGTATGTTGTACATATTTCAGAAAACTCCTATTGGTAAACTAGATGTAGGCTTTAGGAAAATGAACAGGAATTCAATACACTTAGCTGTTAACCAATTAACACGATGACAAACACCGAAATCAAATCTGTACTGACTGAACACACCGTAGTAAATCAAGTGACTACTAACAATGATAGCCCATAATAAAAATTCATCGCAAATGAATTGGTTAAAGTGCTCTCGCTTATTCGGGCTCTTGAGTTTCAAAAACTACACCTGCAATTTAAACCCTGTCTCACTTATCGAGATATGTGAAGCCTGATGATGTGAACTTAACTAACGCAAGCACGGCTGGTAGGCAGGTAAATAAATACGGCTACCTTTGTTAAGTATCATTACAAAAATGTGGATTTAACGAATTTACTCGATTAAAGACAACGGTTATTATGGCAAGAAAGCGTAAGTTTAAACGTCAGAGAACTGAAGTGAAACTGCAAGTTATCACACAGGTGCAAAGGTAAATGGAACCCAATTTATTTTTGAATTAAAAAGTAAACAAGAACTAGATATGTTGGGTTGTAAAGTAGAAGTGATATAAGGCGAGGATATCATTTCTTACAAAATCTACACGAACGACACGTGGACATAACATCACTTGATCTCTTATTAATAAAGCCTCATGAAGTAAACGAGTCAGAAACCGACCAGAAACTGATGGAATGTACCTGAAGCAGCGGAACATCAGAAAATTGTTACTATCCAATAAAAATTTCTCAAAGTTCACTTGCAAATTCTCAAAAACTCAACAAATATGACAACACAACTAATCATCGGAAGACAGAAATGACTGTTACCACATTAAGAATAACCGGTAATGGAGTTTCGGCCAGTAGAATCAAGAAAAAACTGTACACCTAAAGACTACTCATCTATTTAGAGAAAATAACTGAATCTAGCAAGAAATGACTGTGAAAGCAGACGTACAGATGAGGTTATGCAACCAGTGTTGCCGAAATTATCGAGACATACAAACTTCGCTAGATACAGAATGATTGATCACTCAACTTTTGTCTAACGGGTAAAACTAGGAACAGCAGGAATAAGTCACATAGCTCAGATAGCTGTCTACGGTGAGGTTATATCCAGGCAGCCAGTGCTTGTCTTAAGAGGAACTTTCTGGGAATAGTTCATAATGAAGTCTTACGTATGACTCCTGGTATCGTTAACTTATCATACGAGGGGAGACTTGACAGTTAGGACCTCTTCTCATCACAAAACAACCAAACATTATATCTCATCACAATGTTCAAAATTGTAGATGACTATGAAACCGATCTATCAACTAGAGAGAGTGAACATATGCCAACAATAAGGAATTCCTCAACTCAGCTGTCTTGTCTTGTGGTGAAATTTGATTTTTTCCAGTACGCTTAGCGCAAAACATCACAAGACACTCAGATCAATAATAAAAACGTCTGATACTTTACGTTATTATTGATATGTTCATGAACATATTCATGAATATGTGCAGTTGCAACTGCAACTAAATGCCCATTTTTCAACATTTTTATCCGCTAAGGTTATAATCACAGATATGCGTACACTTAGAGCTATTACAGACCTTTATTTAATTTCTCGGGTGTGGTGAATTTATACGAAAACGACAATATGTGCACGAGAATTCTCTAAATGGGTGAAATTTCACCCATTAATGGGTGTGTATCCGCTTTACTTGCGAAATCTGTGGTAAGTAAACCACACAACTTTCACCTATTTTTCTGGTTATTTTATGTTTTTACTTTAAATAAACTTTAGAGGGGATAAACATGCAACCTCAACACCAGATAAAAACGCACCGGATTTCCCCACTTTCCAATAGGCGCGCAATTACTAACAACCTTGTGTAGTAGCGGGACTTATTTGGCACATTGTTTGAAATTTCCCTTAGGTAAAATTTTGTGAATAATTTTTAATAAAATTGTGTTATATGTTGTATGGATTTATGGAAACTCTTATTCTCTGACATCATTTGGTGTACACGTCATGTCGTCTTACTGAGCAAAATGTTAGCATGTTAGTTGCAATGGCTAGTGTTTCAGGCGAGCTGTGTTGAAATATTGCTGTAATGAATAGGATAGTATCATGTACACAAAGGGTAATGGGGTGGGGGTAATGCCATGTACACAAATAGTCTGCTTTAGGTGGAAGCTTCAATTCCTCGCATAGTAACATTCTTTGAAGACTTTACATGTCTCTTGATATCCATACAGCATATTTCCGTATGAAGTACAGAATCATTTGACAAATAAATGCTGTTGGAACATGATAATTACGTACGAATGCTAACATAACATTGTGTGACAACAGAAGTGATGGTGCAGATGCATTTTTCACCGTACGTGTTTGAACAGGAATTACGGTAAGTTGAAAGGTTATCTATAGGTAGATTTAATAAGTAGTTGCGCTGAGTGATGCAGAGTAACGTGGGTTATATGGATTCCACATACAAAAATATATTGATGCTGTGCTAATGTTCACTTATTTGTCGGTAGACTTATGAATGTAGGTAATTCTCCGTTTGAACTGCATTAGGGCATTCCTTAGTGCACTAACTCAATGTATAAACATGAACTTTGTGCATCAGTTTTATTTGTAGATTAACCCATACTATAAACGTCAACGTGGAAAACACTGTCTTTTCCTGATTCGTACACATTATAGAAACATCTGAACGAGTGACAATAGTGGCAAATAACGAACGAAGTGCGAACAATATTTCTTGGCACCTTAATGTGTGCATGTAAAATAATTTACGAAACTTTTACATAGCCCTATTTAACTAACAGTTGAAAAATAAGTGGAACACTTCGACGAAGCATGGAAGCAACGTATGAAACAGCTCCAGTGAAACTAATGAAATAATTAATTCTGATGGAATCGTGGTAAGTCACACTAATGGGAGTCTTCATTCGCTTTATAAAAGCATGATTTACTGCTCGGAATTACATCTTTTGACAGCTGATTGGTGGGCGGGAATAGTGTTGTAAGAGGGTGACACTTATCGCTTCTTCTGTTGTTTTCCAGGTTTAAATTAGAAAAGACTTAAAGAAAGTCTCTCATTGTGGAATGGAATTTTAGCCAATGGATAATGAAGTCTTGTGCATACCAACTGTTGCTTTCGATGACACTGACAGCTGTATGTCTCCGTATGCTTTCAAGCGTATTTTTATTACAACGAATTTTTATGAGTTTTGCATACTGTATGAAGTGCATCTGAGTTTATGGCACGGACTTGACTGAGACTCTGGAAGAGATATTTGTGACCACTGTAACTATTCAACAGAAAGTTGCTGGTTAAATAACTGTTCTTTCTGTAGATGCCGAGAATTTCTTCCATGTAGACTGTGATTTCAGGAACAGTTCTGATTTACAGGTCGTATAAGAGCTGACACTTCATTAGAGCTAGTCTTTCCGATATTCTTAAGTTTGATTTTTCCTTCATTTGATTTTTCAGGGTTAATACATATTGTGCTCGAACCTCTTTTGCTGTCGTCTTATCTATTCAAGCTAGTGCCACTTCTACGTTAAGAATGACATCCTCTGGTTTAAATTTACTAACTGTTACATTGAAATTTGGTCCTTTCTCAAGTACTTTTATCTCAATAGAGCTTAGTTCTTTGATGAAAGGTTGATCAACCATTTTGTTCTGTCAACAGAAGATTGAACATTGACGCCAATTTCACTTATTGTGTTCTTTTCTTCCATTAGTTTGTTAATTTTTTGACTTGTGTGGTTTTTGATTTTCTTGATACGAATTCTCTATCTTTTTTGGATGTTTCAAAAACAATTACCCAATCCAACAAAAACGGGGAAAATCTTGTTAAAAAAGGGGATAAAATTGGGACATTGCATTAAGTGAAAAAGGGGTCGAAATTTTGCGATAGTAAGACTTTACCCTTTTTCAAGAATTCGCACATTTCCCCCTTTTTTGTCACATTTTCCCTCCTCTTCAAGCGTCACGATTTCCCTTTAGCAGAATGTACCCATTTTACTCGCATTATTTCCCCTTAACCGGCAGAATTTCCAAAGGTTTCCCCTCTTTCTTCCATTTAATCGGAGTTTTTCCCCTTTTGAAATGAACTACACCCTTTTTTCCACTTTTTCCCATAAATTTCCCTTTTTTGTCCACACATTTGTCCGATTGGGCACCTGCTTGTCATTGACCATACATAAAAGTTTGTGTTTGAGTTTTTCAATTTCATTTCGTATACTATTTAGTTTCGCAGTAATCCGATGTAGTTATTCTCTTAGGCATGTCAGTAGATTATGAGCTGATGCTTT